CTATCTCCTTTTATGAATCCTCCCTTCAATTGGGCTATGCATGCTGCATTGTCTTCATACAAAATTGTGGGTAGTTTTTCACACTTCAAACCACATTTGTCTCGGATAAGATGTATTATAGACCTCAACCAAATACATTCTCGACTTGCTTCATGAATGACAATTATCTCATCATGATTAGAAGAAGTAGCCACGATTGATTGCTTAGTCGATCGCCAAGATATGACAGTGCCACCACATGTAAACACATAACTTGTTTGAGATCGAGTCTTATGCGGGTCAGATAAATACCCAGCATCGGCATAACCAACAAGATCGGGATTGCAATCATTGCTATAAAATAAACCCATATCGGTAGTCCTTTTTAGATATCACAATATATGTTTGATCCCATTCCAGTGTCTCCTTGTAGGAGCAGAGCTATATCTTGCTAAGACATTAACCGAAAAAGTTATGTCAGGCCTTGTAGTGTTAGCAAGATACATTAGTGCACCAATTGCACTAAGATATGGTACTTCAGGACCAAGAAGCTCTTTATTCTTTTTTTGAGGTCGAAATGGGTCCTTATTCACATCAAGTGATCGAACAATCATCGGAGCACTGAATGGATGTGCTCTATCCATGTAAAACCGTTCCAATACCTTTTTAATGTAGGTAGATTGACGGAAAAAAAATCCCATTTGTCAAATGTTCAATTTGCAAACCGAGACATAATTTTGTCTTTCCAAGATCTTTCATCTCGAATTCCTTCTTTAAATAATCAACTGCCTTTTGGAGTTCTATAGGAGTTCCAATAAGGTTTATGTCATCGACATATACGGCAAGTACAACAAATTCCGATGTTGTTTTCTTTATAAAAACACAAGGACAAATGGCTTCATTTATATAGTCTTCCTTTAATAAATACTCACTAAGACGGTTATACCACATTCTTCCTGATTGCTTTAGACCATACAAAGATCTTTGCAATTTGATTGAAAATATTTCCCGAGACTTTGAATTCTGTGCGTTAGGCATTTTAAATCCCTCGAAAATTTTCATGTATATCTCATTATCAAGTGAGCCGTAAAGGTAGGCTGTAACTATATCCATTAAATGCATGTCAAGCTTTTCATGGACAGCAAAACTAATGAGATAACAGAATGTTATAGCATCCATAACAGGAGAATATGTCTCTTCATAATCGACACCAGGCCTTTGTGAAAATCCTTGTGCAACAAGGCGTGCCTTATATCTTTGTGCCTCATTTTTCTCATTCCTTTTGTGAACAAAGACCCATTTATAGCCAACAGGCTTAACACCATTAGGTGTTTAGACTACAGGCCCAAAAACTTCACGTTTTGCAAGTGAACTTAACTATAATTGGATTGCTTCTTGCCATTTTGGCCAATCAAGTCTTTGTCGACATTCTCCAACAGATTAAGGTTCAAGATCCTCACTTTCTTGCATAATGCTAGATGCAACATTATATGCAAATGGATAATCTTTTGCACCTCTGTGTCACAAATAGAGGCACGTGGATCAAGATGAGATAATGATGTATTTTTCCACAAAATTTCACGTTTGGTTTCACTAATTTCTCCCCCTAATTTTGGGAAAAAATGCCTCATCGAATCGACAATCTGCAAAATGAGCAGTGACCAAATCTCTCGTTAATGTTTCAAGGTAGCGAATAATGGAGGGCGATTCAAACCCAACATATGTTCCTAACCTTCTTTGGGGACCCATCTTAGTGCGATATAGGGGTGCTACAGGCACATATACAGCGCATCCAAAAATTCTTAAATGAGATATATTAGGTTCATGACCCAAAACTAATTGCAACGGGGAATATTTGTGATAATTTGTCGGTATGAGGCGAATTAGCATTGCTGCATGCAAAATGACATGAACCCAAACAGAAGTGGGCAACTTCGTTTTCATGAGTAACGGTCTTGCTATCAATTGCAGACGTTTAATTAAAGACTCTGCAATGCCATTTTGAGTGTGAACATGAGCTACAGGATGCACTTTTATCCCAATTGATAAGCAATAATCATTAAATGTTTGGGATGAAAACTCAGTAGCATTATCAAGTCTAATAGACTTAATTGGATTATCGGGAAATTGTGCCCGTAATCGGATTATTTGTGCCATTAATTTTGCAAATGCGAGGTTGCGAGATGACAATAGGCATACATGAGACCATCTAGAAGATGTATCTATTAAGACCATAAAATATCTAAACGACCCACTAGGTGGGTGAATAGGTCCACAAATGTACCCTTGTATACGTTCTAAAAACGCAGGGGACTCAATCCCAACCTTTGTTGGTGATGGTCTTATAATTAACTTGCCTTTATAACAAGAAGTGCAAGAAAATTCATTATTTAAAAGAATTTTCAAATTCTTTAATGAATGCCCATTTGAGTTTTCTATGATTCGTCTCATCATAATTGATCCAGGATGTCCCAATCGATCATGCCAAAGTAAAAAAGTATTGGAAGCAGTAACCTTTTGGTTTAAGGTAGAATGTGCCTCAATTGCACTAATTTTTGTCCAATACAGGCCACAAGATAAAGATGGGAACTTCTCAATAATTCTTTTCTGGCCAGAGACATTCTTGGTAACGATGAGATATTCCATATTATTCTCATCTATTGTCTCAATATGAAATCCATTTTTGCGGATATCTTTAAAACTCAACAAGTTCCTCTTGGACTTGGAGGAGAACATTGCATTCTCAATGATAATTATTGTTCCCATAGGCAGAGTTATAGTAGCTCTTCCAGAGCCTTCAATTAGATTACTACTACCAGAAATTGTAGTAATATCTGCCTTACACATACTTAAATGAGAGAAATATTTCTTCTCTTTGAATATTGTATGTGTCGTACATGAATCAATTAAGCAAATATTTTTACAATTGAACTTTGATCCAAGTTTGCTTTGAAAGATATCCATATTTGCTTCCCGTAGTTTGACATACAAAAGAAGTATATGAATAAATATTAGTATTTTTAGAGAAAAATGGAAAAGAAATAAAGTTAAACCAATAATTCAATATCAGCCTTTAATGCATTTTCTGGCAAATTCTAATTATTATACAAATAATTACGCAAAAAATAATACAAGTACACATATGACTAATACATTTTCCTACATATTGTATGAAAAATAATTGTTCCGTGTAAGAAAAGAACATACTCATAAAAAATTGAGGGTGAAGTAACAAAAGTTGTTCTAGAGTGCTTGTAAACCTTTTCTTAAAGAGAATTAAAGCAACGTAAAGGAAAGTTAAAATTGTTAAAAGATCACTGAGACTAGAATACTAATTAATAGGATACTACTCCTTGTTTGTGAAATTTATAAAATTTCGGAAATAAATATATTCTTAAGAACTACATAAGAAAAATTATAAAGTGCAATAAAAATTACTAGATGTTTATTCATTACATACTACGAGTAGGAAAGCATAAAAATTAAATTGCTCAATTATCTCTAACCACAGATCCATCACCGATCAAGTGGTTTATTTTTTCATCAGGGTGCTCAAAAAAATCTGCCACATCCAAGTGGGTGATGTCAAATTCATTGTCATAGACAAGATTGGCTTCAGGGCCTTTATTCTTCAGAGATGCTTGATAAAGCTCAACCAAATATTTTGGTATGCGACAAATTTTTGCCCAATGCCCTTTTCCACCGCAACGATAGCATTTAGTTTCTGAACCCTCTGCGTTTCGCTTCTCATCTTTCCCTTTCCATTTTTGGAAGTTATTTTTCGGTGGAGGATGATTAACACCAGGAAATTTTCTTCCTTGGACATGGCCACGACCACGAATATGACCACGACCCTTTCCACGATTAGCATAATGGGAATACACCTCATCTTCTTTAGGCAATGGTGTAGACCCAGTGGGTCGATTTTCATGATTTCTCATAAGCAATTCATTGTTTCGTTCAGCCACAAGTAGAAGAGAAATCAACTGAGAGTACTTTGTGAAGCCTTTCTCTCGGTACTGCTGTTGCAAGACCATATTGGAGGCATGAAACGTTGTAAACGTTTTTTCAAGCATATCATAGTCACTGATATTATCTCCACAGAGTTTCAATTTAGAAGTAATTCTAAACATAGCAGAATTATATTCAGAAACAGACTTAAAGTCTTGGAGCCTAAGATGAGCCCAATCATATCGTGCTTGTGGAAGAGTGACCAACTTTAAGTTGTCATATCTTTCCTTTAAACCATTCCACAAAACAAGTGGATCTTTCACTGTGAGATATTCAATTTTCAACCCTTCATCAAGGTGATGGCGCAAGAAAATCAAGGCCTTAGCACAGTCTTGTGTAGATGCTTTATCTTTATCTTTAATGGCGTCTTCAAGACCCATTGCATCTAAATGGATTTCAACTTCCAATACCCATGTCATATAGTTCTTTCTCGAAATTTCAAGGGCAAATAACTTTCTTTTCATAATATCAGACATAATTTAAAAAATACAAATTTGAGAAAAATTATATCTTAATTTTCTCAAAGATCTTCTTGAGATGGTAGAGCCTCATGCTGATAACGTGTTATAAAATATAACCCAAAATAACAATAGAGAACAAGCAAAAACAAACTAAGAGATATAGAGAGAAAGAGAGGAAGAGAGATTTTTATTTCTTCTTCAATTGTGTGTATTTTTCCTATCTATTACAAGGCCTTTATATAGGCATAAAAAGTGAAGAAAATATGTCANACATTTCGTTTCTGAACCCTCTGCGTTTCGCTTCTCATCTTTCCCTTTCCATTTTTGGAAGTTATTTTTCGGTGGAGGATGATTAACATCAGGAAATTTTCTTCCTAGAATATGAGCACGACCACGACCACGACTACGAATATGACCACAACCTTTTCCACGATTAGCATAATGAGAATACACCTCATCCTCTTTAGGCAATAGTGTAGACCTAGTGGGTCGATTTTCGTGATTTCTCATAAGCAATTCATTGTTTCGTTCAGCCACAAGTAGAAGAGAAATCAACAGACAGTACTTTGTGAAGCCTTTCTCTCGGTACTGCTGTTGCAAGACCATATTGGAGGCATGAAACGTTGTAAACATTTTTTCAAGCATATCATAGTCACTGATTTATCTCCATAGAGTTTCAATTTAGAAGTAATTCTAAACATAGCAGAATTATATTCAGAAACAGATTTAAAGTCTTGGAGCCTAAGATGAGCCCAATCATATCGTGTTTGTGGAAGAGTGACCAACTTTAAGTTGTCATATCTTTCCTTTAAACTATTCCACAAAACAAGTGGATCTTTCACTGTGAGATATTCAATTTTCAACCCTTCATCAAGGTGATGGCGCAAGAAAATCAAGGCCTTAGCACAATCTTGGATAGATGCTTTATCTTTATCTTTAATGGCGTCTTCAAGACCCATTGCATCTAAATGGATTTCAACTTCCAATACCCATGTCATATAGTTCTTTCTCGAAATTTCAAGGGCAAATAACTTTCTTTTCATAATATCAGACATAATTTAAAAAATACAAATTTGAGAAAAATTATATCTTAATTTTCTCAAAGATCTTCTTGAGATGGTAGAGCCTCATGCTGATAACGTGTTATAAAATATAACCCAAAATAACAATAGAGAACAAGCAAAAACAAACTAAGAGATATAGAGAGAAAGAGAGGAAGAGAGATTTTTATTTCTTCTTCAATTGTGTGTATTTTTCCTATCTATTACAAGGCCTTTATATAGGCATAAAAAGTGAAGAAAATATGTCATGGAATATGTCATTGAACATACAAAATATGTCATTGAATATGTCATTAAGCATTTGAGATGAAGATCGTGGAAGAAGTGTAGACATCCACCATAATGTGATATTTATCATAACAGAATCCTTTTTCTTACGAATATTTTTAATTCTTTTGTTTATGAGTTTGATTGGAGTTGTTTCACATATTAAATTGTAAAGAACAATATAAATATCTTTGGGCTAAATAAGGCTACTAAATTGTGTTGTTATTCATCATCAACATTTTTTATTTGAATATGAAAATATTATTCAAAGAAATAAAGGTTAAACGAAAATTTAAAATGATAAATTATATCAGCAAATTTTCATTGAACTAAGAGAATGAACTTCTTGAAAATTCTGGAGGTGAAAAAATTGGAGAAGATGAGGAGGAAGATAGGAAACTCACTTAAGCTGTGAAGGTACAGAGAGTTTCTTTATATTTTCATTAACAAGAAAAATACATTTTGTTATATTTTCTTGTTTTAGCTTATAGTATATAGTTGTGATGTTTTCTTATTTTCATGTGTTTGAAAAATGTGGTAAATTAAAAACTCCTAGAGTGAGCGAATACATTTTGGGAATCATTATAGTCAAGTTGTTGTAGAGCTAATATTAATCTGGTATAAAGCTATTGAGTATGTTGAACAGATGAGCTTCATCTAAGGTAAAATTCCCAGTCTTTCTTCAGTTCATGGCATGGTATAGCCGTTTAATTTTTCCAACCATCTTCTCCTAATAATTCTCCATTCATCCTCATAATTTCTAATTACAATGATATTTAATGTGTATTAATTTTTGATTATTAAATTGATAATTAATCTTGTGCCTACTGATACTCTATTTTGATAGACTATATATAGATGGTGATGACTGTTGTTCATACTGTAACTTGCTTGCTTTCTCTTGCTTCTCATTATTTTCTTAGAATGGCATACTCTTTTCTTTCAGAGTTGGGTCTTCAGAGGGATGATTGGTTGATAAGGGTTAGAATTTGTAGAATGTGGGATTCTCTTAATCCCAAGAAAAATGGAGAGTTAATTGGCTTGGATATGATCTTTATTGACGAAAAGGTACATATATGATTCTTAATCTTTTATATGTAGATTCTCTTTGTAGCTTTTAACCTCAAAATTCTTAACTCTTTTCTTTTATCAGGAAAATTTGATGCATGCTACAATCAACAAGAAACTATATAACAAGTTTAAGGATAAGTTGACTAAAGGTTCTTTGTCTGTTATCAAGAACTTCAAAGTTGTTGAAAGTAGTGGTGGATATAGGCCTGTTGAAAGTAATTTTAAAATTAATTTCTTACTTAAAACTGCCGTCAAGAGTCTAGAAGAAGATATTGTTAATATTCCTATAAATGGATTTCAGTTTATCACACCAGATATGATCGACTCAAGGGTGAACAATAACACTGTGTTATCAGGTATATTCATTATAATTTTTGCTATCTTTTTTTTTAAATATCCATGTGATTCTTAAATAACTACTTTATGCTCTTCATTTGGACATGTGGTGGGCTGTTTGTGCGGAGTTGGAGACATGGAGACTGTTGGCTCGAGGTGGAAAAAAAGGGACATTCAAATTGTTACTGATTAGTGAATCGTTTTTCATTTTATGTTTGTTTAATTTGTAAATCCTCCAGAACTTTCATTTCTTATTATGTTTCAATGCCTCTTCCTCAATCCATATTTCTGTTGTAGTTCTGTCAAAGCAAAAATTACTTTATGGGAAGAATTTGGTGAGAAATTCGATCCTTATTTGTACAAAAATGATTCTGACCCATATATCGTGATAGTAACCGCTACAACAGTTAAAGAATTCCGTGGTAATTGTTTTAGATTTAATGATTAAAGTTATATACTCTGTTACTTTGAATATTAGAATAAAACTATTCATTATTGCATTCATTATCAATAGGTGAGGTTAGCTTCGCCACCAGCTACGCAAGCAAAATATATGTAAATCTCAATGTAGACTTCATAACTTCTTTGATCCAAAAGTTTGCAACAGTCTCTGTTGGAGTACAAACTATTGAACGTTCTAATGTTAATAGCATTCCGATTAAGGAAGATATGTTTTTTAACAGGATGAACATCAAGGAGTTGTTGGATTGCGACTGGAGTCCTGAATTAGAGGTTCTTTCACTATTTTGCTTCTTGAGTTTTCTGTTTCTCAAAATTGCAATATGCTTCTAATACATAATTTTTTAAATGGTAGGAATACATTGTTACCATGAGGGGAGAGATTACAAATAGACAACCATTTTGGTTGGTACCATATTTCATGCAATGCGTGCTCAAAGAAGATCGAAGCTGAAAATGGTGTCTATAATTGCCATATTTGCAACAAAGAATGCAAGTTTCCTTTGTTGAAGTAAGAAACCAATCTCTAATGTGAATTTGATTCATGTTATTATTTAAACTAACTTATTATGTAAATCAAGGTATAAGATACACCTAAAAGTCAAAGACAAAACTGCGGAGAGCAGTGTTGTCCTATTTAATCCTGTTGCAGAGAAGCTACTTGATACATCAGCCCACAAGTTGTTAAACAGGCTGTCATTAGATAACAATGATGTACCTATCCAAATCCAAAGCCTTTGCAAAAAAGAATTTATTTTCAAGCTAAAATTAAACAATTATAATTTGCAAGAGGGGCTTGAAAATTTTACCATATCAAAGGTTTTCGTTCCAGTTGAGAATTTGGAAATACAATACCAATCGAGGAAAGATAAGAAGGTACTGTGTATATGAAACTTTTAATCCATAATTATATTGGACTTTCATATATATATATATATATATATATATGAAGTTGTTTTTGCAGGGAAAAAGCTTATTGGAGGATGAAAATGAACCAAAGGAGCAGAAAATAAAAAGATTAATTAAAAAAAGGTAAGCTGATTTACAATGTAATATGTATGTGAATAAACTATCCTTTTCAGATTTAAAATTGGACATGTTTAATAGGTATGTGAACTTGTCTTTTTCAAAACCAAACAGGCTGTTGATGTCTCATTCGATAACTTGGAAGACTCTGATGAAGATCAACATGTCAATGATGGTGTTAAGAATAGAGAGTGAAGAAACATAATCATAGACGACGATGAATTTAGTGATGAAAACACCAACAAATGCAAATAGTAGAGTCTTTAGTGTTGGTTATAGCATATTGTGTGTGCTTAAATAAAACTATTTGGTCCTCTTTTTAGCCTTTTGTTTGGTTGTTTGAAAGACTGCGAAGAACCCTGTCAAAGTTGTTGGTCATTCACATCACTTTAGAATATGGAAAGTGCTGGCTTCTTCACTGAAAAACTTGAGCTCGGTTTGTCAACTATGTCCTGAAGTTTGTTTTGATTTGATTTCTACCTCTTTGTTATGGCACTAGAGTAGTTTCTTGCAGATATAATCCATTTATTAGATTGGTAACTTATATTTTCGGTGCAATGACGGTTAAATTGGAAACTCATGGTTTTGGAGCGAATGTTGCCGCTTCTCCTTCAATTTAGGTGTATTGCATTCATCAAGAAAACATAATTACTGTACGTGATGGATAAAGTCTCTTGATGAAACAATCCTTTGACAATTTATTTACTTCGTCTATTTTTTGTCCCAAAGCGAAAAACCAGTTTAAGAGTTGAACAATTAGTAAAACTTAGTATACTACAACTCTGTCCCCAAAGCTAATAGTCACTTAATTGAAATGCACATTTCAAATTGCATCCATTAACCAAGTCAAAAGAGACACAACAAAACAATGTTGATATTTATATGATTCTGAAATGAGGATTGAATTCTTCAGTAAAATTGATGAGCACCAATTCATAGGCCGGCGAGAAGCTTCTCCCCTGCTCAACCAACAAATAATGTAAATACTATATCATATAAGACAACAACAAGAAGCGTACTTAACAAGTGGAATGACCATAGACTGGAAGGAAAAGTTAGAATTAGCAGAAGAGTAATGGCAGTTGTAAATGCAGCGTTGACGTTGATATCAGAAAATGAAAAAGAATCGAGCTTTAACAGAATTCTGTTTCTTGGTGAAGCAGCCTAGGAATGTACTTTTGGGTAGGCAGTGAAATTTAGTGGATATGGGCTCAGCTGTTGAGGTTGTTGCTATGCATTTGCTCTATCAATTTGCACCCTTTGACTTTAATTAGGCTGCTATTGAAATTGCATTTAACATAAAGGCATAATAACGCAAAAGAAAATAATAATCTATATAGATTTGAACTACACCATATAACAGTCACATGATTCACAATTAAGAAAATATTTATGATACACCACAAAATCCCTCAACCCCCACGCCAACTGTTACTTTTGTACCACCAAATCTTTAACGGTACTCTCCTACTAAATAACAAAAAGACAAATCCCTAATTCTTTTTTTAATTTTCCTTATACCAGATTATACTCATCTTCTTCAAACTCTTCAACCAACCAAACATCCATTCTGTTTTCTCTAGAAGTTCAAGCATTAGCACATCCAAGGAAGGCGTGTATTTTGTTTAAACTATCTTATAAAAATAACACATAAGCAAATTCGTTCACTATACCCCATTTAATTCCAATTCCAATTTCATCACCAGGTTAGTTCACTTTAGATTTGCTCCTCCAATATTCATATCTTCTATATATCATATTATTTTTTCATGAATATTTCCTTTTACATGTTATTTTGATATATTTTACTCTTCCAAAATTTTATAGCAGATTAAATGGAACTGGTATCTGCTACTGTTAAGGAATTTAGTGTGTCAGTGAATATTCCGTTAGAGATTACCCTACTACAGCAGCTTTTGCCAATTTTAGCTCGGCAAGAAAGGATGTTAAAAATAAAATTGAAGAGATTTTCATTAACAGTACAATGCAACCGAAAGAACGAGGAATTAAGTGTAATCAGAAATTGTAGATTCAAGTTTGCGAGACTAAAGCGAAAAGTCTCATTAGTTGAAAGAAATACAAGTATTACTCAATAAAGAAAATAGTTTTGTTTCTATACTTGGTGAGAAGATTCACAAAATTTATGAAGTTAATCAACTTCGAAGGGAGACATGTGCTGCCTCAAAAAAATGGTATGTTATTCTTTACCAAGCTTTATTCCTTAATAATAGTGCCAAAGTTGTTACTTTCAATTTTTGTTGATGTGGGAAGATAGAAAAATCGCATCACAATCTAAGTATAGCATACTTATATTCATATTACAAAATTTGAACTTGACAGGTCATTATGCAACAACTTGAAATTTTGTCCCCCCTACGTACACATGCCAATATTGTGGTGCTATTTTATGGTATGAAGAACGAACAAAAAACGACACAGACATCACACCCTAAATTCTCATTGTGTTGTTCGGAAGGCTGCGTACGGCTATCGTTACTGACTGAACCACCACCCTATCTCAAATATCTTTTGGGAACAGATTCTGGACAACTAGGTATCAACTTTCGAAAAACTATCAGGGCTTATAACTCGATGTTCGCATTCATATCTATAGGGGGGCGAATTGATGGATCTATTAATCGTTCGAAGGGGCCGTATGTTTTCAGGATGAGCGGTCAGAATTACCATCATACAGGCTCTTTGCTACCAGAAATTGGGAAGAAGCCACAGTTTGCTCAGCTTTATATATACGACACTAAAAATGAGATAAGTAACAGAATGAGTTGGCTGTTGCAAGAAGATATTGATCCCAAGGTTGTTCATGAATTATCTCAAATGTTAGATGAGCATAACATTTTGGTAAAAACACTTAGGATGGTTATGGATAGATATAGAGAGCATCCAGAATCTGTGTTCCGTCTATGGCTACTATCTGACAGGACAAGAGATGGTCACCAATACAATATACCCACAGCCTCTGAAGTTGCAGGATTAATCGTTGGTGATCTTACTAAAGAAAACTTCAAACGAGATGTTATTGTAGAACATCAGAAAAAGGGACTTCAAAGAATCACAGATTTACACCCAAGTTTCATGTCTATGACATACCCATTAATACACCCATATGGCGAAGACGGATATAGACTAGGAATTCTTTTGGCAGACGTAAACAACAGAAATTCCAAGCGAAAAAATTAACAATGAGATAATTCTATTGTTTCAGGATACAACAAAGACTTAATGAGGGACAAACTCTTCTACTAGCAGGCAGACTATTGCAACAGTACATCGTTGACGGTTGCATGGCAATAGAAGAAGAGAGATTCCGCTATATTCGAAATAATCAAAAAAACTCAGAGTTGATCTTTCCGCTGGATTAATGGATATTGTTCTTTGAGGTGATTCTGATTGTTCAATGGTAGGAAAAACTATTATACTGCCTTCATCACACACTGGAGGACCCCGATATAGAGCACAAAATTATCAAGATGCCATGGCAATTTGTAGGTGGGCTGGATATCCGAATTTTTTCCTTACTTTCACTTGCAACCCAAAGTGGCCAGAAATAAATGAAATGCTCCACTTAAGTAACCAAGAGGGGGATGATAGCCGAGTTGACATCATATGCAGAGTTTTCCAAATAAAATTGTTCCAGCTAATGCAAGATTTGAAAAGGCAGCAACCCTTTGGGAAAATAATCGCCTGTAAGTTCCTCATCATTACATACTCATTGCAGGCATCACTCATCTATCAATAAATTAGCACGAAATGAGTATTAGTAATATGTCTTTTTTGCAGTTAAATCTGTATCATGAAAACAAATATTATTTTATCCTAAAGGATTTATGTTTTTAGACATTTCACTATGATTAAACCTTCCCTTGCATATATATAATAATATATGGCTATCTTTGACCTTAATAATATGTTTGTTTACTTTTATCTTTAATTTGTTTGCTTTATCCTTATCAAGTATGAAGAAATGTATTCTCAATAGATTCACAACAAAAAACAAAATTAAGGTTTGATTTAGTTAACAGAATTATAAGTCTTCGTAATAAACTATTAATAGGAATTTAAAAGTACTACTTTGATGAATTTTTAAAAAGAAAGTCAGCTTTATGTTCTGAATAAATGATGGTATGATTATTAATTTACTTCCATCCTAACTATCACCATATACCATTAATTCTGTAGGTCTATATACAATTGAGTTTCAGAAAAGAGGACTGCCTCACGCACATATACTGCTCTTCCTGCATCCCACATTAAAGAGCCCCTCCACAGACCATATTGATAAATTAATAGCAGCAGAAATACCTGATCTGGAGGTTGATCCTGACGGTTATAATGCTGTCAAGAACTTCATGATGCACGGACCCTGTGGAGAACTCAATCGCCATTGCCCATGTATGAAGCAGGGAAAGTGTACCAAGCATTTTCCGAAAAAATTCAACGATCGAACAACTTTTGATGCAGATGGATTTCCAATTTATAAGAGAAGGAACACAGGTACTCAGGTCAAGAAAAATGGTGTCTTATTAGACAACAGATATGTCGTACCTTACAATAGGAATTTGATTGTCAAATTTGATGCACATATAAATGTTGAGCTATGCAATTACTCAAGGTCGGTGAAGTACCTGTTCAAATATGTCAATAAAGGATCAGATAGAGCAACAAAAACTGTAGAATATACAGATACCGGTGTAGAAATTGATGAGATTAAAAGATATCTAGACTGCAGATACATATCAGCTACAGAAGCTTGCTGGAGGATCTTTAAATTTGGCATACACCACAGAGAGCCAGCAGTTGAGCGATTACCATTTCATTTAGAGGGACAAAATTCAATAATATTCGAAGAAGAAAGGCGAGCAGAAAGTGTTCTTAGTACACCAGGCATTGAAGTAACAAAATTCACAGAATGGTTTGAGGCAAACAAAAAATACACTGAGGCACGAGAGCTCACATATTCTGATTTTCCTATACATTTTGTCTGGAATTCAAGAGACAAAACTTGGACCAAAAGGAGAAATAGCAACGTAGTTGGTAGAATTTACTTTGCACATCCTGCAAGTGGAGAACGTTTTTACATGAGAATGCTGCTTAATTTTGTCAAATGATGCACTTCATTTGAAAGCATCAGAAGAATAAATGGAGTAACACATGACAATTATAAAGATGCATGCTACGCTTTAGGATTACTAGAAGATGATAAAGAGTGGAATGATTGCTTGGCTGAGGCTGCACTTTGGGAAACAGGAAACGAGTTGAGAAATCTCTTTGTGACGATACTTATTCACTGTCAGGTAACTGATTGTAGAAAAATTTGGAATACCAACTTTGAGATTTTATCAGAAGATATAATATCATTACAGAGAAAGAGATTTCGATTGAAAAATTTATAGTTGACAAAAAAACAACTTGAAGCATATACATTATTTGAGATTGAAAGCATCCTATTGAAGATGGGAAAAAGTTTGAAAGACATAGATGGAATGCCACTCACAGATTCAGCTTTACTAAACAATGCCGGAAATCGTCTTATCAACGAGGAGCTAGAGTATGACAAAGATGCTCTAAAGATAGTGCATGACCAATCATTCGCTCTGTTAAATGCTTGCCAAAAGTCAGCGTATGAAGCAATAATAAATTCAGTTGAGAAGGAAGAAGACCGTTCATTTTTTATAAGTGAACATGGTGGTACTGCGAACACATTTCTATGGAATACAATAATAGCCAAGATAAGATTACAATCAAGAATAGTTCTCCCTGTTGCTATATCTGGAATAGCTGCTTTGTTATTACCAAATGATAGGACATCTCATTCACGGTTTCATATTCCTTTGGATGTTAGCTCAGAGTCAATTTGTGAAATAAAACAAGGCAGTCAATTAGCTGAACTTTTCTTGAAAACTTCCTTGATCATTTGGGATGAAGCGTCAATGGTAAATAAATTTTGTTTTGAAGCCTTAGACAAAACCTTGAGAGAAATCCTTCGAGTGAGGTATGAAAATAGCTCTGATAAACCTTTTGGAGGCCTTACAATTGTATTTGATGATGATTTCCGTCAAATACTACCAGTAATTCCAAAGGGTACACGAGCTGATATTGTTGATGCGTCACTAAACTCCTCTTACTTGTGGCCATTTTTCACAATTTATGAGTTGAAGCAAAATATGCGTCTCTATAGTGGAAGAGTAAGTGATTCTGAGGCTGCTAAAATATCGACTTTCGACAAATGGTTGCAACAAATTGGAGATGGCTCATTTTACGATGATATTAATAAGGAGCTTATTAAATTACCTCCTAATGTATGTATCAAACCATCCAACGATCCAATCGGATCAATTGTCGAGGCAGTTTACCCATCCCTCTTGCAGAAGTACAATGACCCAACATATTTGAAAGAAAGAGCAATATTAACGCCAAAAAATGAAATGGTTCATGAGTTGAATGATACAATTATAAAAATACTACCAGGTGAAGGAAGAACATATTTTAGCTCAGACAATGTGTGTAAAGCAAGTGTGAATACTAATGATGAAGATCTGTTGTACCCAACTGAATTTTTGAACAGCTTACGGTTCTCTGGCATCCCTAATCATGATGTACATTTAAAAGTAGGTACCCCAGCTATGCTTCTCAGAAACCTAAACCAAAGTGAAGGCCTATGCAATGGAACAAGATTGATCGTCATGCATCTCGGTAAATGGTCTGTCAACACAAACATTATTTCTGGAAAAAAAACATTGGCTCGAGAGTCACAATCGCAAGAATAATTATGTCACCTAATGATTCAAAGTGGCCATTCAAGCTTAAGAGACGACAACTTCCTTTAGCGCCATGTTTTGCCATGACAATCAATAAAAGTCAAGGACAATCCCTAAACCATGTTGGATTGTACCTTCCGAAACAAGTATTCACCCATGGACAATTATATGTAGCTGTCTCCAGAGTAACAACAAGACAAGGATTAACCATACTGAATGCTGGCAACGACATAGAAGACCTTGTGTTCATTAAAAATATTGTTGACAAAGAAGTTTTCCAAAATATATGTCTTACAGTTGCAATAAACACGAGGTATTTTTTTCTACCATTAAAGACGTTCATAATTGTGTAGTTTTTTTTAAAAAATTAATTAATTATGATAATTTCTCATCTTCTCTGGCAGCTGAAACATCAGGACCAGCCTCACCTTGCGATGGTTGGCTATATTGATTGAGGAAAGGACAGGCTCGAACACCCAAACATATGATTCTTACTCTTAGCTAATGAATTTCTACTTACTTCTTTGATGTTACTTATAACAATTTGTTATGCATAATACTATGAGCTACACTTCAATTCTCTCAAAAATTTACTACACACTCTTTCTACTCTGTCTTAATTTGCTTCTAAATTTGTTCATTACACTAATCTAATTTTTGAGAAAACAAGAAGTAAAAATACCAATAGCTATGGAGATGAGGAGAGAATCCAGGCAGAAGAAGCAACAACAGACCTTACTCTCCTCAACTAAGGCAAAACATACTGATGGTAGTTTAGTTAAAATAATGACATTGTCTATCTTTTCACATCTCAATTTGTTGATTTTTTTTTGTTTATTATATTCTTTTGGGATGATCCAACTGCTACTAATGGAAAAGAGGTTAAAATCAAAAGTTAAAGACAGATTATACAGTAAATTTGACTGCACAATTGAAATGGTAAGTTTTGCTGGTAATGCTCCCTGCTTAGGTGTTAATAACTATTCCATTTCCTTGGTTATCTGAAATAATTCCTTTATCACTCACCCGTCATTTCTGTTGCCTCAGTCCTAACTATTTGTGACTTGATGTGCAGTGTTCACATCTAACGGTTGTTCCACAATAGTGGAAAGCATACACAAGTCTGATTACCACGCAATATATTCTACTATTGGTGCTATTTTTACTGTTAATTAATATAGAAAGACATAACTGTGTAAGAGGTTTGTAGGTTAGAAATATGTTGTTGATTATCTTATGTCGGTAGCCCTTTGGTTTAAAGTGCACATTCATTTACTATAACCTTAGTAAACAAAATCATCTATTTTGGTATAAGTGAAGTCAAAAGTAGAGAACAACGCCACATAATACATTTGAGTTTAATTTTTCAGTACTACTTTTATAGGCCCTACTCCTTTACTAATCTCCCAGTTTAATTAAAAAATGTCAAAAACATAAAAAAAATACGATTATTTATGCCTGTATTAACATAATACGAATATAAGATGCAGTTATATATGTTTATTTTTATAGGGTATAATAAGCATTTGAATACCATATTAAGCCTTGTGAAATGGAATTCTCCACCTCGATAATGGAATACTATGTTTTTTCTATGTGTTTGCATCTACTCAGATTTTTTTTACTTGCCATAGGTGCCCGGGGAGTCCAATATATCCTACATCTGATCTGGCGTGCTATTACAGGGCGCATGAATTCATCTTTACGACTACATAATACACAAATGCAATTCATATGTGGTCAGCTGCTTGCGTTTTCACTGAGGTACTTTTAGTTACAAAATTAACTTTTCTTATATTGGTCCTAATACTTTACTGCTATCTATAATACAAATACAGAACAACAATTGTAACATTAAATAAGTTTTAAAAACAATCGATTGATTGATAAATATTGTCCGGTTATTATGAATTTTAACTGGTAAGATTACAAAAAAGATTTCGCTTTAATGTATGTTATCTTTCTTATTTATTGTTTTTCTTTTTATACACCTATTCACTCATTTTTCTCTTTACCTTCCCATTATATCATTAATCCACCAAATCACTAACGGTTAATTCCAAATAAAAAATAGATCCCTCCTAATTCTCCTATACTCATTCAAATTTTTGATACTCATATTTTTTTTCAAGATCTCCAGACATTCAATTTACCCCTATAAATACAAATAAGACAACATACAAGGAAGATGAGAGGAAGATTCAAAATAACACAAAACATAACTTCATGAAGAGGAGTAATTTTTAAGCATCAGGTTTAATCATAAACTATACATTATTCTCTTATTGTTCTACACAAATCACATTCCTTTGCACAAATAGATATTGTCTCTAAAGTAGCATAACTATTTAAGCATATAAAATAATACATTCTTATAGAGATCTAAATTAAATATACATTAATAATATAATTCAACATATGCTTATTACTGCACAATAAAATTTGTCTTACATTAGGCAGGATTTCTACAATGGATAAACAGATTATAGATCAACGACATCAAACTTCCTTGAATAATTGTCAAGGTAAATTATTTATGCATAATTAAATAATTTAATTAATTTACTATTCTTAGCTATATTAACACTACAATTCGTCTTTTGTTACAGATGTGAAAAAACAACCTGAAGCTTCCTTGGATGAGATGTATACAAGAATCACACAAATGCGAAAAGAATATTTGAAGTATGAACAAAAACAACTTAGAAACGAATTATATAAAGGAGTATTACCAGATACAACATGCAAAGAATGATTATTTATTCGAATATTATGTAATTGCATTTACAAAATTTGAGTTTACATTATTACAAATAAATGTTATTTACATACCATTTATCGACGTTAAAATTAATGAACTTCGTTTTTCATTTACACCATATTAAATATACAACGTGGGAATATAATTACAAAATTATAGCATATTTTAACGATCGCGCGAAGCGCGGTCACGTTCCCTAGTTCACCAATAATCTTTCCATTTTTATCTTATAGATAGCAGATTGTAATTTGATCTATTGGTCCAATGAGTATGATAGTAATATCCAAACAACAATGGAGTAAGTTTATTTATTAAGAGATCCGTTTGGTCCTAGCCCCTTTCTTTATAATTGATCAGGCTATTTAATGGTAAGCTAATGGATTTCTAATTTATTTTTCTATAGGTTATGTGAGGGTGGAGAATTCTTGAATCGCATTTTGGCCAAGTAAGTAGCATGAACCAGGTTTAGTTCATTCATGGGATGTAGTACCTGCTTTAATTATAGGTTATTTCTGGTTAAGAAGAATGCTTATACATGTTATTGATAATTTCTTCTGACAACCATTATACCGAGAAAGATGCAGCAATAGTTGTATGTTAGCTGCTAAAATATGCCGCTCAATGTAATTTACATGTTGGTGCATCGTGATACAAAACCTGAGGCTTGCAAGAAGGTATGTACTTGCTTTAGCTGGTTCTTGGGATTTTATGTTGCTTTTTTTTGCATATCTTTCTTTTTTTGTGGGTTTTTCTCTTTAAATCTCCAAAGGGGGATTTACCATCAAAGGCTATAGATTGTGGTCTTTCAGATTTCATAAGACCAGATGTTTGGATATCCATAGATCTATATAATAATATATTTTAATCTAAACTCATTTTGCTATGGTGAATGATCTTCATTTCTCCATAAAATCTGTTGAAGTCATCACTTAAGTATGTATTGATTTTCCCTCGGAAAATGTAAACGTATGGCTGACTAATTAACTTAGGGAGTAAATTCTAATATATTATTTGCAGCGCATATTAGGTAGTCCTAGACGTATTAAAACGTAGATCAGGACCCCATTATTGAGCATAGAAAACGAAACTGCATGATGAATGAATTATGATATGATAGAGGAATATTTTTACTTCTATTTATTTTATGACACTTAACTATTTGCCTCATTCGAACTGTTCTCCCTAAAATAGTTGCAGCTAAATCCTTAGCTTTAATTAACCAATACCAAGTCTCAAATTTGTTAGTAGGACTAAACACTTCTCTAAAGAGATAAACTAGTCGTGGCCGCATGCTCGGTTCCTTATTTAGCAAATGACACTCTGTTCTTTGATTTTGAAGTGTCATTGTCCTGATATTAATCCATTTGATAAAAAATTTTGTGCTTCAGATGCAAGGCCGGAAACAAGCAAGATATATAATACATTATTACGAGTTTTTAAATGGTATACATTTGCTTATTGTAAAACTAAAACTCCAGTGTTCTCGCCTACTATCTATGTTCGTTTTATCTTTGATGAATGACATTTTGCTCACTTTATTTTATCATTTCAGGTCATCATATGATATGATGTTAAGAGATTTAACATGTGGAAGACTTTATTATGATCAAGAGTTAGAAAAATGTTATAGACTAACTATTATTGCGTATTATGAATATTTGATGACATCAGTTAGTAATCTCAAAATTTCAATAGCTTTTGAATTTAAATTCTATATTTTTTTCTATATATTGAAACTAAAATTATGGATTAGTAGTTTTGTTACAATTGTTTTAATTAAACATGTTATGCTTTCTAGAATGAACATGAGCATATTTTATTAGGAATTTATGTTATTATTTAGGTGCAAATATTATTATATCTAAAAAATTTATTGATCATGTTGATATCACATTAAATGATAAATACGCACAATGTTCCTTGACGTATTTAATTGCAAGAAAAATTCGAATATGGGCATAGTTTTAGTGCCAATACAATGGCTGTTAAACACTCTTTGCTATAGCGGCAATAGAAAATGATATTTTCGGCCATATCAAAAGCCAATAAAATAATATAAAAAGGATGATTCAGGGTAGTATTAGTGGCCATAGTTATTGCCACCAAATAACTGCCGTTATAATTTAGACCTTTAGCGGCAATAGTTTGGACCTTTACCAACACTTCATGTAATTGCCGCTAAAGGCTTTAGCGACGCTGGATATAACGGCAAATAATTAATTACCGGTAAAGGTTTTTGCGGCAATTA